ATTTTTATTTGATAAATTCAGACTGAAATTAAATAGCCCATAGTATGGAAAAAGAATATTCCATTTGCAATGTTATTGCGTGTAATAAGATACAGTTCGACATTTAAATCATATTTAGATGAGCGTGAAAAAATACGAATTACATTGTTATTAAATAAATATCCAAATAAAATCATAGAGCAAGAATTTAAAAGTTTATTATTAAAATATAAAATTGATCGACCTTTAGATTTTCATAATTATAATACATATCGAGAAAAAGTTATCAACAGTTGCAAAAAAAGAGAAAATTCCAATAGAATATAACGAAATAATATTTACTCATTTTACATATTGTTTAAATATGAAAACTTTTCCCGTCAAATTTCATTGTCTTTGGAAAATATACTTTGGTGAATCACCTTTTAATGAAATCACACCAATATTAGGCACCAGAAACGTTGATAACATCCAATGACGTTTGTTAAATACCAAATCAACAGCAACTAAATTGAAATAATATAAAATATAAACATATATATATATATATATATACATTTTCACAATACTTTAAATAATAATATGGATACCAATTTATATCATGTAGAAACATTTTTATAATTGCCATATTATTAAAGTTAATAGATGCTTACATATTCCTATAATATAAATATATAAAAATGAAACAAATACAACATGTGGATACCTATTTAAACCAACGAAAAATTAGATACAAAAATTCAATACAGCTATGTCGCTATTTTCCAAAGAAGAATCTCATTTAAAATGATAATTATAAATAAGCTGCAAAATAAATAGAATAAAATGGAATCAAGAATTAGAGATTAGGGTTGAAATTAAAAATAATATTGGAGTCAAAAATCAGGAACTTATTCCAATTAAAACGGACAATTTGCAAAATAAAAATAAGAAATAAGAAATACTATACTATTGGAATAATATATTAAAGTTTATAAAAGTCTTGGCATAATAATATCCAAGTTTCTAAGAGTCATATAATAGTTTGTACTATCAGTTCAAAATCATTGAAAATTGAAACACAAATGTAAAATATCGATTGATAATCAATATTAAATAATTAATACTTAAATACACCAGATGTTACATATTAATTTTAATTAATTTTATCTAACATATAAAAACGATAAATACCTAGTTTTTATAATGTCAAATATTTTTATACAATTTTTAACTAAAAATTAAAAGTCAATATTACATATTCATATATAAGAATAAAAAATTAAAACAATCAACAGCACAACTTCAACACAAATCGCTTATTAAAACAAAATTAAATTAAAATAATATAAAATTATACATAATAAGAAATATAAAGAACCTAACAAAAGTCAATAATACCGCAGCCGTTTAACCCAATGAAATAAATAAATATGCCATATCTGTCGCTAGTGATCAACAATGGCTAAAAGAAATGTAGACCTTCTCCTCTATTCTTTTAAAAGACATTTAATTTTCCAATTATAAAAACCATTTTTAAAGAGACTTAATTAAATAATTCTTAAATTACTTTACGAACTTCAAAATGTTAAAAGTGTTCTATTATTTTTTCCGTTTTCGCTAATTATTTTATTCCAATAAAATATATTAAAATCTTTCGCATCTATTGTATTTCTGCATAAAACTTATTAAACTTACCACAAAATTTGAAAAATTTATTAATTATAATTTCAAATTTTAATTGTAAATTTAAAAATTATACAATGATTTTGTTTTTTAGTTTCATATTAATTCTACTATTTTTTGTTTTTTCGTAAAGCATTGCCCTGAAGAGTGTTCTAAAAATTTGTATAAATAAACACGAGATGCGTCGGCGTTAAATAAAATTTGCATTACTTTTTTAAAATTAAATTTACTACAAGCACATCATCAAAATATACTTATACAAAAATAATACTGTTTTGGAACGACTTATTCGATTACTGAAAAGTAAAAGTTGAGAGTAGCAGATTGATTTACATTATTCGAAAATAAATCTAAGTTGATTTGTTTCGAATCGATTAATTGACCCCGTATTGATGGATTTTGTCTTTGAAAACAAAAACTTATCAGTATTTACGCACAAACTCCTATAATATTTTTTGCCCATGATTTTAGTAACTGATCAGTCAATGTTTGGATCACCGTCTAAAGAGATTCTGCCTGTTTGAAGCGTTACGACCACTTATTCACTATGTTACACGATACAAGACTTGTATCTCCTGCATCACACAATTTGTATCAAACAGTTTTGTTGTACAGTCAAATTTTACCCTCACACAAATACAGAAACGAACATGAATCTTATTCACTATGTAGATGGTATTGTGAGGAAAGCTTTAGAAAATTTTTAGTTTTTCGAAGTTAATTTTCTTGCAAGAAAAAGATGAGTTCATCATTTTTTTTTCTTAAAAATGCCAGGGACAATTATGTCAATTTATAGATAATAAAGACGTAAAACTCTTCTAAATCGGATTGTATACTCTCGATGAATAATGCTGCTTCGAAAAATCTTCGCTGACTCCCAGCTATAGATGTAGATAATAAAATAAAATTTGTACATTAATTACTTCAAATTCAAATGAATCAACAAAATCTAATTAGTTGGCACTTCCAGATGTATCAATAATTCTTCTTTATATAACATATCAATACCTTATCCAGCTGCATAATTATGACTAAAATAAGTTGAACCGGCGCACGTCTCTAAACCGGTAAGAACCGATGTGTTCTATTTATTAGGAACGCATGGTCTAGAAGGTGACTAATATAAAAAATCATAGTGAGAATAAATACTTCAAATCAGATAATACTTTGTGAAATGCATGAAAAAAAAACAGAATGAACACATCATGAAAAATAGGACTGACACGGATATTTTAAAGTTTTATGCATGATTTGGCTGGATTCGATCAACAATTCTGTGTTGTTCATACATTCGTAATACGAGTTTTCCTGCTCGTTGTTCACGATAAGTCGTAACTTGTTCGTACATTTGACGACTCATAATATTTGGATCATACTTAATAATCAAACCATCACATTGTGAAGGGAAGATCATCGGATACGCTAGCGCAGCTAAAGTAAAGTCGGCTGCTGTGGGATAAGTCGTTTTAAAAAGATATAATCCACCATGTTCCTCTAATTTCTGGTTTACTTTCTCAAACACTTGATCAATATGTTCTTTTGAAGCCAGACTAGCTTGCTCATGAATATCCATTCCTGTTGTTGCTAATGCTTTTATTGGACCAAAAAAATGTTGTTGAATCCATTTTTCGAATCCCACTGTATCTCGTAACCAGCAGTTTCGTAATTCATTCTCCATACCATCTGATTGAAACATCAACCAATAACCATAGCGACGTACGTGTACGCCAAGTATTTCATTAAAATAATTTTCTAATTCTTCTACTTCAGCAGTTGGATAAAGTGTTGGTTGTCCTAATTTACATAATTCGTCACTAACATAATGCATGATATCAGAAGAGTCTTTTAGAATATGTTTATCTCGCTTTATGTATACCGGTGTACTCGATGAAAACCCATTAGTGTGCCACAACGATGAGACCATATGAGTAAGAATCGAACGCGAACGCTCTAAATACCGATGCGAATCATTTTTCATCTTTTCCCGTTCTTCTTGAGTGGATTTCTGAGATGCTACATGTTGTAGAAGATCAAGTGCCCATCGTGCTTTTTCACAATAATGAGAGAAACGTATAGTAATCAATGTAGGCAAAGCATCGTTAGCATACCGCGTTCGGAAACAGGAACTTATTGGCTGACGAAGGCAGAATAGTAGAAAATAAATCAACGCACATATCATACAAAATAAGCGGTAAAACAGTTGAAACGGTAAATAAAAACATAATCCAATAGGCAAATGATACCAACGCTCTCCCATTATTCTCAAGCAAGATGCTATGCACAAATTCGAGTGGTATATTCGAATCAAGTAGTATAATCTATAGTATATAGTATTATTAAGTTTGATAATAACGGATGAAAGAGTACTCCTGACAGCTGAGTCGAAAGTTTTGAGATAAAGTGTTTCTAATAATTTAAAAACGATGGATTAAAGCCAACATATTATGAAATTTCTAAATATGATCTTAGAAATTTCATCTTAGTTTTTATTCAAGAGTAGTGAGATAATCTTTGAAACATAGTCCCAGACAAGCAAACGACTATGAATACTGATCATTTCCATCTAAACTATTCTTATGAGTGTTGCAAGAAATTATCTCATTAGACTCAAGAAAATCTCTAAGTTTAGATTCTAACAGAACACAAAATTCTAATTAGAACCCATAGCCTGTAACTTCTTAGAAACACTTTCAAGATAATAAAAATTACTCACACATTTTGTATCAAAACATTCAACCTATATGTTATAAATTAAGTATAACATAGTTATATAATCGATCACAAGAATGAACAACAAACTATTTGGTTAAACGACCAACCAATAAGGAGTGGATTGACAGTCACTCAAAAGATGGCAGCAAACCATGAATAAAGAGAACATTTATTTTTATTACTGAAATATTACATAATTTTAAATTCTAAAGTATATGATCATGGGAAGATTTAAGTTTTAAGTGAAATAAAGATTGACAGCGTGATTGATCGGTCTAGAATAATTGATCGATTAAATGTATGTTTTTTTTTTTTTTTTTTTTTACAAAGAACATTATTCAAAATTCAATAATGAGTACCGTATGTTAGTTGAAATGTTATATCAGTATTTCTTGACTGTTTTATTCATATGGAACAACTATTCCAGTAAAGGTTGATCTTTATGAGTTCGAAAAATAAAACTAGAAACTATCGTTTGATATGTATTCTATAATAGAAAACTAACTTCTAAACAAATATTTAGAGCATCACATAAGACATTGAGTTAACGTGAGCCATTCAAAAAGTCTTTGTAGAATGTTTTTAAAAAGTTATACACTCTTAGTCCTGCATCACAATGCATATGTTAAATGAAATTATTGCTTTATCCATCGAGACTGTGATTGATAACCACATATATTCTTCTTTTTGTATTTTTTGTAAATGACAAAAAAAGATTTGTTGAAAACCTGTTCCATATACTTCTGCTCTTAATTAGTTTGGAAAAAAGGCATTCGACAGAATATAAAAGAAAAGTAGTAAGTAAGAAATTCTATAAAAGCATTTAATTCGAAAATCAGATTTAGAGTATTCAAATTTTTCATATCATCAATAATACATTTCTCATATTGAATGAGGCATTGATGCTCAATAACTGTATCATTGATCATATAAATTCTAAAAGTAAAGCTGTGTGGAGAGTTGAAAATTTTACCGTCAAGAAAGAAATTGAACTTGAATTGCCTTGTTTACCTATAAGTAAATTACATACAGAGAAAATTACAATGAATA